TGAAAACTGCCTCTGATCTGCCCCTGTTGGAGCCAGCTGTTGTTTGACATGTGGACAATCTCAAATGGTAAAGAATAATATGTGTGGCACAGAAACAGTCAGTAGACACAGTCTAACATCATATGGTGGTGTAAAGTAATAGGCTGTGTGGACTTTCCTTTGGGCTTTGATCCCAGCACTCGCCGAAGCTCCTTTCCTAGATAGATGCAGTTTATGCAGCACTGCTTCCGCAGGGTTGCTCTGGGGAGTCTGGAGATCACAGATCAGCAAAATCTCCCGGGTCCCTTCTTGCGTGTGTGGGAACCGGATCCCGTTTACTTCCTAGTCGTGCGCAACGTGTGCTGCCCGTCCAACGCGCTTCCTGGCAGAGGGGGCGCCCCGCTGCCCGCCGGAGCCGGCTGCTCGCGGAGCCGCCCTGGGGTGGTCAGGCGTGGGGCGGCGGGGCTGGGCGTGAGTGGCGGCTTCTCCGCAGCTCCCAGCCTAGGGCAGTCCCGGGGCTCTGACCCCCGGACCGCCTCCGAAATAAGGGTACACAGATACGCCTCCCCGGCCGGGATTGCTCTCTGCGTGTTGGGGAGCCGCGGGGCTCCGGAGGGAACCCCGGTGCTGACGGCGGGGGGGGGGGGGGGGAGGGGTGTGAGGGGGTGGGTGTCCGTTGCCATGACAGCAGATTTCCCACTCTCCCTCCTTTGTAGGAGTTTTTTTTTCTTTTTTTTTTGACTGTGTGTTGTGGGGTTTTTTGTTGTTTTTGTTTTGTTCCCATTTTAGGAGAACTGAAACCATTAGGATGGAGAAACAATATAAATCTTCATCTGTTTTTCCAAGAGAAAACCCGGGCTGGGTGCAAAGGCAGGTCCCACTGGTTTAGAGGCACTCAGCAGTGTGTCCCCAACCCCAATTATTACTGCATCTTTCCTTAGCACAACTCTGTGATTTGTAAAACCCGGAATTGCAAACTAACCCAAATTGTACACCTAGCTTTTGCGCACTGTGTTTCCAAGTCAGACCAAAAGGGGACACACACCTGAACTCTTACAGGGGGCTGAGGTTCACTGCTTGCAGATCTAGTTTTCTTTACAGATGATGGATTTATCTAGGTTATTTTATATATATATTTAATATGAATGTCAAAAAGCTGAGTCAGCCATACCCCAGCTATTAAGATCCTCAAACATCTTCCTCGTTAATGCTTGCTTACCCCTACTCTATGCAGTCAGATGAATATGAGTTGTTTGTTCTGGCAGAGGGACAGACAGTCTGTTTTCCCTTACATGTATACAACTAATTTCAAGTCACTAGTGTTCTAGCTGGTGATAAAAGAGCTATCTTAAGCTTTTTGCAGAACACAGTGACACTGTTAAATCAGCACAGCATTTTGATTAGCAGAAGATGAGAGCTATACAGCTTAATGAGAAAAAGGGACAAAATCTCTTCTGTACTTAAAACTCCAGTTTCAAAGCAAATAGGTGGCAATATTTTTCTGCAAGTTAAGAATTTTCACCTTACTACTGAATCAAGGCTACTCAGTGTCAAGGCTACTCAGTGTCAGCAATAGCCTGTGCTATTTGAGTAAAAAAGAGAAATTGCTTTCATGCCTTATTGCTCATCTGGTTAGACCTTCTCCTGTGGGTGCAGCTGTGGGGTCACAGCCCGTGGGCTTGGTAGGCTCTCATAACTTCTCCTTCAGGAGCTTTGGGGCTCACCCGTGGGTACATGTTCCCTTTCTAGCACTCACTGAAAGCAAAGGATGGTGGTTTGTCTGCTCTGTCTTTAGAGACAGCATGGACCTCTGAGGTTCTTCTGGGGCTTGCACATCCCCTTGCACATACATATCCATTGTTTCATCCTTTATCTCATCCTTCCCTAAAGTAGAAGTCATAGAATCACAGAATAATTTGGGTTGGGTATGTTGCCAGGAAAGTTGAGTTCTCTTTGGCCTCCTCCAAGAGCATTTTCTGAGTTTAGGGACAGAAGTGAGCCCCTGACTTTCCATTCTGGTTATCAGTGATCTTTTGATCAGCTGTGACCATGTGTCCTTTGGCAGGGTACCTCTAGTAGCTGCTATTGGATGCTGATCCTAAACACCTTCTAATGCTTAAGACTTCCCAGTAACTTCTAGACTAAATTTATGTATAATACATTTATGGTCACTTGTTCAAGGGCCAAGATGATCTTTCCACTGAAATAGGCTTTTTCCTGTATGATGTTTAAATCTTTATTGTGTTTGTCAAGAGCAGTCCTCTATCAGAGGCACCTATAGAGGAGAAATATATTTACTAACTGACATCTTGGTGAAAGTGTTTGCAGTACTTTGGAATTCATCCTTTGCAGATTCTGTGACCCCACATTGGTGCATCTAGGATTGCTTTACAATGCCAAATGGCCTTAGGCTGCACCCTACATGGTAGCATCCTATCACAGTGCTAGTCTACAGGAATTGCTATTGCAGCTGACAAAATTCAGAAGTGATGCTGATATGAGCATATCAGACTCCTCACATTAATTCAGATGTCCTTGCATTTAGACTGCTTCATGTGCTTATTCTCCTACTGTACTAGTGAAAATTACATATAGAGGAACTTGAGAGACGTTTAAATTACAGTTGACCCCACTCTAACCTGTTACTTTCTCTGAACCAAAGAATTCAGTCTGGTGTGTCCTCAGAGACACAATCTCTGGGGATTTCAGCTTGATAGGTAGGCTGAACTAAGTGTGGTTATCCATGTTGCTTGTGCCAAGCAGAACTGTTTAAAACCAACCACTCCTGTTCACTCATACAGTGTTCTAGGTGTATTTAATGGACTATGCAATAACATAAAAATCGCAAGAAGGAGTGGGAAGGCAAGGGATACTTAAAAGCAGAAAAAGGAATAGAGTGACCTTCCTTTTTCTCGTGGAAAAGGCAAGCAGAAATAAATGATGGCTTCTGCTAACAAAACCCAAGTTTGTCTTTCCAGAAACTGCAGCTGAATATCTGTGCCATGGTCTTTCTGTAATGACTGGAGTACATTCTGCACCGCTAGTGGGGTTCAGCTAAGACCAGCAACTACACTGTGATGACAGAAGTAGTGCTAAGCTTAGTTTAACACAATCTGCAGAAGCAGCTCTGCACAGTTGCTATAACACTATGTTAAACTAGGCTAAACTCTGAATACTGCTATAGTCACTGCTTTTGGAATCACTCTGGATTCAGTCTGTCAGAGTGTTCCTCTCCTTTGCAAAATACGTAATCTCATTTAAAATCTAGTCCCCTGAAAGATACTCTGTGGGGGAAAAACAGGCTGACAGGGTTCCCCTGTGCCTGCTGATGTAGTAAACTTACTGATTGCTTATCTGCAGTAACACTAACCACGATTTTGGTTTTTGTGGGGTGGTTTTTTTTGTGTGTGTGTATTTTGTTTTGTTGTGGTTTGTTTGTTTGTTTTTAATCGTATTTATTAGCACCTTCTTAGCTCGTACTGTCTTCTCAGATATGGGCCTCTATATGCGTTGCTGCTTAGGAAAGATCAGTGTCTGAGAGGGTGCTGTTTAACTTTTATGATTGTTGTTGTTCTAAAAATCTTCAACCTGTCTTTCAGAGGAAAGTCCTCTTTCCCCTGCAGCACCCCAAACAATTGGCTTGTATCATTTCACCTGTTGGGCTTCTAGTGAACTTTTGGGTTTAAAAGTGTCCTGGACAGGATTCTCTACCCATCACAAAGCAGCTATACTCTTCTAGCACAGCTCTAAAATGTCTGGCTGATCAGTGGACCTCAGCTGTTGATGATTCAAAAGGTGACAATTTCTTTTTGAACCAATGCTCTAACAAGACTTGGGAATAAGGGACTGTTATCAGTGAGATGTAACTCAACCCTACTCCACCTCCCCTCCTCCTCAAAAAAAAACAACAACCCAAACCCAAAGGTGGGTTTACAGACAACTGAAATATTCCAGGTTTGTCTGAAATTGCATTTTTAAGGAAATCTGGAAAAACTGTTTCTTTGCCTTTGGGAATCTTCTCCCTGTCCGGACCTGTGAAAGCTAGGGAGTCCCGCAGAAAGAGTTTGTCCCAGAGCTTTTGGCTGAAGTCCAGCACAGAAAATAGAAGTTCATCTTCCCAAATTCTCTCTGCAACTCTCTATATCTGCATGAATAAAGTCGTCTTCCACTCTCTGTACAAACTAGTTTTCTGCTATTTTAATAGCTTCAGAGCAATATCACTAGCATTCGTCTTAAATGATAAGCAGAGTGACCCTTTCAGTTGCTTCCCTATTTGCACTCACTGTTCTGCCATTAGTTAGCTAATGATTTGTGAAATATTTTGTGATTATACCTTGTGGTCTTCAGCTTAGCAGTCCTCTGTAAGTGTCTAATGTTACTAGTAATGGTAATACACACCAAGCCACCATTGCATTTCCTCATGCATTTCTTTCATTTAAATATGTTAAATGATTAAAAACTTCTGCTGCATGCTGAAACTTTCAGGTTTTGGCAGCATTAATGGAAACATACAAGCAGAGCTTCCTCTCGTAGGCTTTCCTCCTGCCAGCAGTTCCCGTTCACACCAGCAATCTTATCAGCTGCACGCAGGCTAAATTTTGCAGCATACCACAGTGTACCCAGAGATCTTGATTCTCTACCCACCCCCATCCACTCGGAGCCCACCTGAGCTTCTGCCCAGGGTTATGGGGAAACCAGGAAGAAGAATATGCTTGTGTGCATGTAACTTTTGCCCCAGGGCAGCCCAGGAATCTGGTCAGGGCTCACCCCTGTGCCTGAGGAGGAGTAAATGCTCCTGCATGCATTAACCTAACAGCAACTAGGGACAAAATTGGGATGATTCCTCCTATGCCAACTGGGAAGATTGGAGCTTTGTTGCAAGTGAGATCATATACACAAAGACAGCGCAAAGCTCCCACTGACTTTGAAAAAGCCTGGATATAAGGTGGTATCCTTACTACTGAGAGCTGGAATGAGAGAGATGTAGAGAAACCACTAGAAATACACAAGCAATGGATTACCTTGCAGCTTCAGAGTATCTCTCTAAGCACCTAAACACAGCAGCTTGGCGCAGGTGATTCCGGAAATAAGATGGGTTCAAAATAATGCTCCTTCAAAAGATAAGAGAGACACAAGTTTAGATTTCTATTCTGTAAACCATTAGAAGCTACTACTAATCAAACTGTAAGAATCGTACTTGCACACTTGCTCTTATACAGGTCAACACTGTATGTCTCAAATGTAGTATGAACTCTCCCTTGACAGCTGTGATATATGAACAGCATTATTAAAATTTTTATTGAGGTTGTATCATAAATGCAGTTTCATTGGGGTTTTGTGTAGTGTTCTAGCAAAAAAGTTACTGTGGTAATATTCCATATTGCCTTTAGCTTGTAGGAAGCATAAGCAGAAATGCTACAGTACAACTTCATGTTAACTCCTAGCTCTACTACAGTACAACTTCATGTTAACTCCTAGCTCTACAATCACAGTTGTCTGATTATCTACCTGGAAAAACTCTATGTAGCATGTGTTTTAATGTTAACTTGGGAGATCTGTGAAATACTTTCTGTACAAGTGATAGGTTCTATGTGGGTGGACCTTAGCATTTCTTAGACCTTTACCTTTAACAGATGCAATTCCAAGTGTAACAAATTACAGGCTTTAAGTCAATATCAGAAAGAAGAAGGCTAAAAATAGCATAAGCTAAGCAGTTAGATTGACAGGCAGGGTAGACTTCTGATGTGAGCAGGGGGAGGGCAAGAGTGACAGCTCCTACATCTAGTTCCACTTCTGAGTGGAACCAAAGAGAGACTGGCTTCTCTGGTGAGCACTTCTCCTGGTGCTTGCAGAAAAGGTGCATACAGTATGTTGTAAGATGCCCAATTTAATATTTATTGTTGCATGCATGTAGAAAATGTAAAAGAACTATGCTTTCACAGTCCAACACATGAACAAATGCTCAGAAAACTGTATTGAGGGAAAGCTTTACCCTGCAGGAACTACCTCTCTGGGAAGAAGGTGTGGGGTTAAAAAAAACAGTGACAAATCAATATTATGTAACTTAAGACATTATTGGAATAAGCGCAGACCTTTGTGACTGAGGGGCACATCTAAATACTGAACTAAAATACAGTGTATGAAACAGCATGAGGTGTTAAAAATCAGTTTTTCTAATGAGAGGAAGGAATCGCTCTTAGCAATAATGAAAAGATAATGCCAACTGCAAACATGGCATGCTGAACATGGTTCATGTCTGAAGTTTAGACAGTACTGATGGTCACCAAAACTTAGTTTAACCAAAGCAGTCATCAAAGCATCAAATACTATCAGCATTTAATGATTTGACCAAAACAGTAATATCTTCCGTGGATGACAACTAGTGCTTCGGCAAGCTATTTTATGAGATTGTGGTTGCTGTAAACTGTAGTCAACAGCTGATAATATTAATATTGATTTTTTTCCTTCCCCCTGCTCCCCAAGTTATCGGCTCTACCGCAGCCAAGCAATAGCACTATGAAAGAAAAAAAAAAAAATAAAAAAATCAATAATTCTCTGGTAGTTAGCAACACATTTTCTGTAAGTCTTTGAGCAGGATGTGCTCTGATAGGCTTATAATAAATATAGAACTGTGGCAGATTTTCATAGAATTAGATACTGGCTCTCTGTTTTCCATCTTGAGGTTTGTGTTTTTTTTTTTTTCCTTCTTTTTACTAGTCTCAAGAAGTTCAACTCCTTCTCTTGATCTATAAACTCTATACTGAAAAGTATTGTAGCATGCCCTAATAGCTTGAGCAAATATCAGAAACCTAGCTTTGACTTCTGGCAGTTTGGTTTGATGTTGCTAGGCTGTCTGTAGCCTATACGCTAGAAATAATTGCTGCTGTATTACTACTCTACCCAAACCTTTGCTGTACTGATGCAGCTGCGGTTTACTAACCTTTATGATGAGCCATTCTAATTCAATGCCAGGTGTGCACGAAAACTGTGCGAAGCTACCCCTTTGGCTTTTAAACCTGAATCCGTGTTTCAGGTAATTTTGGTGAAAAGGCAAAAAAACCCCCACAATCCTGAATAAGAATAGGAAGCAAAGGAATTGTGCAAACAAAGGTTAAGAGGAAAACTCTAATTCCAGGAAGTTCTTCTTCAAATTGGAGCAGATGGGGGGGCCCATCTGGCCAGGCAGAAATGTGCCAGGCTGTGCATAGTGAGAACAAGTCCATGCTCCAAGATCCACCTCCAGCCATGAGCAGTCTTGATACAAGGCTGGTTTATCCTGTAATTAATTAGGAGGGATGTGTCTCAAGAGGGAGGCTTGACAGAAGAATAAGGAAGGGAAGAAGGTGGTGGACACACCAGCTGCAACACAGTCGGGACAATCTCTGTGTGCAGCGATTTTTGCCAGTAGCAGAAACACTGGTCCTTTGGTCTTTTTTTACTGATGTGCTGCCATTGGAGCTTCAGGTAGAAAAAGTTTCAACAGGAAATGTCTGAAAATGAATAGTTCTTATTTTGCCCTGAGAAAACTTCTAATCTGCAAATAAAGCCACTACATCTGAGGATTAAAACTTGTGTTCTTGCCAGGTTTTGCCCTCATCTGTCAAATGACTAGGCTAAAGTAAACTTGAAATAGATTTTCATTTATTTTTCATCTTTGCTGTAATCTGAAGACTGCCCTGTTAAAAGCCTTTCGTAAATCATTTGGTCAGTTTTTCTCAACAAAACAGTCCTTAAGTAATGCTGTATATCAGCCTCTTTTGACATTTTCATTTTTTCATCTTGACATCTTCTCTTAAAAATAATACAGTGTTTGTCCTGTTATCTTTTTTTTTTTTTTTCTCCAAACTGTGAGGAAGGGGAAGAAGTCATCAACTTTCTCACAATTGGAGTATGTGAATCAAAGGTGCGTGTGTTAGTTTGTGGTTTTCTTTCCAAGTTTTTCTTTCAGTCTTGCTGCCTGGTGTTAAGAAAAAAGGTGTGGCGAGAAACTTGGATTGCTACATCAAAAATGGCTGTTAGAAATCGCTTTGCTTCTTCTCTAAGGTGCGCATCCTCTATCAAATTCCTTCCCAAATGCAACAAGGATTTAACTGTGACTGACATGAGAAAGTGCCTCTGCTACTACCCACCACATCGTTCTTCTTTGGCCTTTATAGGCCAAGAAAAAGTCAGTGAGGTGATTCTGTAGATGAAACAAGGGTAAAAAAAATAAATAAATACACTTCACTACTAAAGCAGATAAACTCATTTTTCTTGCTAGTACTGTGAGTAAAAGATTGTTTGTAGGAGTGCATGCAGTTATTTCTTTGAGTAGCAGAAGCTTTTTATTTTTCTTAGTTGTCCATGCTTTTCTGTGATACAGTGTGATCTTTACAGAAGCATTTTAATAGCCAATTGTAATTTACTATTAGAGAGGAATTAGGAGATTTATCAGAAGTAAAAGTTCAGTGCTAAAGCAATATGTGCCTCTGCAGAGAGACATAAAGCTAGCATGGTCTGAAGGGCTGGCACATCCGTCACTGGTACTGAGTACAGATGCAGTTGCTGAGGTGTTTTTCACCACAACATTAAATACAATGTCAGTACAAGTAATGTCAACTAGTATTCAGCAAAGCCACATATTCAGTTGGTGTAGACCAACACAAAGTTTTTATCTTTGGTGAATACTGTTGATTAGTACAGTTGATGATCCAGCACTGGTATACTCACAGCTGAACCTGACAAATCCTGTGCAATTACATTGAACCTCAACTTTTTTCTCTCCTTGTTTCATCTATATGGCAGGGAGCTTATTATCTGCAATGTAGTTCTAGTCTTACATCTGTTTGAGTCTGCCATACTCTGTTCTGTGATCCCAAGGGCTGGTTTAAGAGTTCAGCTCTAGTAGAGGCAGTCAAATCCCTGAACCCTATGGTAGCCAGGAAGCAATCTTATCATATTTTCCTGCAGTTTGTATGTGCAACTATGTTACGATTTTATTTATGTTTTGTTTTAGCACTTAATAGTGGAATTTTTGCTTGTAGCCAACTTGTATTCCAAACCACTTATCCTCCCAGTGCTGTTACAGGGAACTAAGAGGGATGTGTCTTGGATACACAAAAGCTTGCAGGCTTCTGTGCTCTATGTGAGAGTTTACCAGAGCTGACATCCTGAAGAGGTAAAATATCCTCCCTGTTGCAACAAGTGGGTGGAAATATTTAGTAGGTTTGTGAAAGCAGGCATGCTGAAGCACTTTGTTCCAGAGGACGAGACTGTGGTGGTTTCAGTGCTAGTGGGCATTAGCAAAGGCAGAAAGAGGATGTCTGTGGTGAGGAGAGCCACCTGGGGATGGAAGGGACATGTGAGGGAGGTAGGGCCTTTCTCCTGAGCTAGGTTTTGGTTTCTTGGTGGCTGTGCAGATTCAGACACATGGGTCCATGGGGAGTTTCTGTTGCCACTAAATGCCTGGCTGCGATGGTGCCCACCCTGCCCTGCACTTGGAGGCCTTTTTATGTCACTTTAAAGAAGTGACACAAAAACTAGGTAACATCTGTGTTATACAGGAAAAAGCTGGAAGACAAAGAGGCCATGTAGATGTAGCTATAAGAGCACCCATAAAGGCAAATCTGGCAGACTTCATAATGGGTCTCTTTTGTAACCTCTTAAATCATTAGGAATCCCTTTTAATGTAGTTGTCATAACTGAAACAGCTGCAAACAAAGACATAAAAGCTTCTACTGAACTCAAGTGAATCAAGGAACCTGTCCAAATCCCTTTAGGCTGAAGGACACCTGACTTGTCTGTGTGCAGTTGGATTTTTTTGTACAACCAATTAGAAGTAAAATTCAGTTATGGCATCTGTGGGCAAGGACCTTTAGTGCACTGAAGAAAGCATCTCATGAAGTTTTCGTATCTAAACAGACAAGATGGGAGGAAGTGTGGGCTCCCAAAAAAGGTTTCACACAACGCCTTTTCTCTGTCAGTAAAGTGAAATATAACTGTCATACTAAAAGGTTTTGCAGCAGCAATTTGCTTTGAATTGCAAGCATAAGATAAATGTGCTATACAGGTCTCGATTCCTCAGCTGTGAAGGTGGTAAAAAGGAGAATGCTTTTCAATCCAGAAAAAAAGA